ATGTACCGAACAGAACCACGTACCGAACAGACCCACGTACCGAACAGAACCACGTACCGAACAGAACCACGTACCGAACAGACCCACGTACCGAACAGAACCACGTACCGAACAGAACCACGTACCGAACAGAACCACGTACCGAACAGAACCACGTACCGAACAGAACCACGTACCGAACAGCACCACGTACCGAACAGCACCACGTACCGAACAGCACCACGTACCGAACAGAACTACGTACCGAACAGAACCATGTACCGAACAGAACCACGTACCGAACAGAACCACGTACCGAACAGAACCACGTACCGAACAGAACCACGTACCGAACAGAACCACGTACCGAACAGAACCATGTACCGAACAGAACCACGTACCGAACAGAACTACGTACCGAACAGAACCATGTACCGAACAGAACCACGTACCGAACAGACCCACGTTCCGAACAGAACCACGTACCGAACAGAACCACGTACCGAACAGACCCACGTACCGAACAGAACCACGTACCGAACAGAACTACGTACCGAACAGAACCACGTACCGAACAGAACCACGTACCGAACAGAACCACGTACCGAACAGAACTACGTACCGAACAGAACCATGTACCGAACAGAACCACGTACCGAACAGACCCACGTACCGAACAGACCCACGTACCGAACAGACCCACGTACCGAACAGACCCACGTACCGAACAGACCCACGTACCGAACAGACCCACGTACCGAACAGACCCACGTACCGAACAGACCCACGTACCGAACAGACCCACGTACCGAACAGACCCACGTACCGAACAGACCCACGTACCGAACAGAACCACGTACCGAACAGAACCACGTACCGAACAGAACCACGTACCGAACAGAACCACGTACCGAACAGACCCACGTACCGAACAGAACCACGGACCGAACAGACCCACGTACCGAACAGAACCATGAACCGAACAGACCCACGTACCGAACAGACCCACGTACCGAACAGAACCACGTACCGAACAGAACCACGTACCGAACAGAACCACGTACCGAACAGAACTACGTACCGAACAGACCCACGTACCGAACAGAACCACGTACCGAACAGACCCACGTACCGAACAGACCCACGTACCGAACAGAACCACGTACCGAACAGACCCACGTACCGAACAGAACCACGTACCGAACAGACCCACGTACCGAACAGAACCACGTACCGAACAGAACCACGTACCGAACAGAACCACGTACCGAACAGAACCACGTACCGAACAGACCCACGTGACTATAGCCATGAGGGGATTCCGATACTGTGCCACAAATTATTCCGGAAACTACACCTGAACCACTATAGTGCCTTGTTAAGCGCATTTACACATAGGTCGTTAGTCGTTCGCATCGAAAGGACGAATTACCTAGTTAAGGAAAGGGGAGAGAGAGGGGGGGGAGAGCTGTCATTAATCAACCTGACCTCTCATTAATCAATCAAAAGGGGCCTGACAGCTGAATAGACAGCGCTTCAGATTAGTAGTCCTGAGGTTCCGGGATCGATCCCCGATGGAGGCGGAGACAAATGGGCCTAGTTTCTTTCACCCTGATGTCCCTGTTCACCTAGCAGTAAATAGGTACCATGGAGTTAGACAGCTGCTACGGGCTGCTTCCTGGGGGATGTATAACAAAAAGGAGGCCTGGTCGAGGACCGGGCCGCGGAGACGCTAAGCCCCCGGAAGCACCTCAAAGTAACCTCAAGGTAAGGTACCACGGACCACTGAGTAAACCAATCATATTAAGGTTCGTGGGTTTACCTCGTGATGATCCACTGATTGGTTGAGAGGTAAACTGAGAACCAGAACTATACAAATAATTATTCAAGTCTGCTTAGTGTAGACTGGAGGTAATAGGGGGGTGGTGGAAGAGGGGAATGAATAAAGTGAATAAAGAAGAATGAAGTGAATAGAGGGGAATGATAGTGGAAAAGGGGAGTGAAGGAAGTGCTGATAAAGGGGAAGGAAGTGATGGTAAAAGGGAAGGAAGTGCTGATAAAAGGGAAGGAAGTGCTGATAAAAGGGAAGGAAGTGCTGATAAAAGGGAAGGAAGTGCTGATAAAAGGGAAGGAAGTGCTGATAAAAGGGAAGGAAGTGCTGATAAAAGGGAAGGAAGTGAAAATCGCACAATAACAGTTATACACACGCGTGCAAACGCGAGTGCATGAATTAAAGAGGTGAGTAAATGCTTGTACAAGGCAGCGAGCGAGTAAGGCTTCACTAACGACCTAATGAGTGTAAGTCAATTCTTAGCGATTACAAAACAGCTGACGAGGCTATATAAAAAAAAACGAGTCTTAGTAATGTAAGGAAAATACTCGCACCCTATACGGAGGGGTTTCAGGAAGTGGAAGGCCCTGAAAGAACAAGTTGTGGAAGCCACCTCCACCCACAACTTTCAAGCCCAGGCACGACAGAAAGTTAAATTACAACCCAACGGGTATAATAAGACTATATAAGACTATAACAGGTGGGGAGTGGGGGAGGTATAAGGAGTTATAAAGCTCGAACTTGTCTCGAAGTCACTGATAAGTGTAAGTAAACACTTGCCAATCGACCACGGCCCTGTCCCCCAATTCCAACAGGGTCCTTGACGTGTCACCGCCGTCACCATCCCCTCAGGGACGCCCAGGGACGCCCACGGACGTCCGGGACGCCCACGGACGTCCGGGACGCCCACGGACGTCAGGGACGCCCTTGGACGTCAGGGACTTCAGGGGACACGGTTTTGCAACCTCCAGGAGATGGCCTACCCGAATATAGCTAAAAGGTCTTGTCTACCCCCTTCCCATCTCCCTACAGATGCATCCCTTATCCAGCCCTTCGTCCCTAGCTCCCATAGGGTGCCGAGGGGCTCCTCTCCCCTCCCTCTTCCCCTATTCCATTTCTATCCCATCACTATCCTCCAATCTCATTCGATGCTTCAATCCCTTCCTTTTCATCTTCGTGTCTTGATTCCCTTTTCCGTCTACTGTTCCTTCCTGGCCCGGAGCACGTGGCTTGAAGTATCAGTAACAGCGTTATGAAGCCGTCACAGTGCACAGTCAAGTAGCTACCTAACTGTTTCTTAATGAGTGTTTCGGAGCATTACCAGTTTAACTGGGCTGTTTAGCCTGGCCCTTTGATATTAGTGGTAATCCTCCCAGCCCGGAAGATTGCCTCTCTCTCTCTCTCTCTCTCTCTCTCTCTCTCTCTCTCTCTCTCTCTCTCTCTCTCTCTCTCTCTCTCTCTCTCTCTCTCTCTCTCTCTCTCTCTCTCTCTCTCTCTCTCTCTCTCTCTCGTCTCTCTCTCTCTCTCTCTCTCTCTCTCTCTCTCTCTCTCTCTCTCCTTCTTCTACTCCTTATCCTCCACCTTCTTCCTTATTGGTAACCATTATCACTCCCTCCTCCATTTTCCCCCTCTCATGTACTCTTTGATACGTTAATTCACCTTCCCTTCCCCTTCTCCCTTTTCCCTCCTTACCTGCATCCCCCCCCCCCTCCCATCTCCCCTTCCCTGTCGTAAGGCCGGTCGACCCAGGTGAGGAGTCACAGGTAGTTTGAGAAGTGACCCGAGGCGGGAGAAGGTAACTCCATAGCTTTGCCTTAATTACATTCATCAGCAGGTGTGTCACGTCATTAGCATAGTCATCAAGGGGGATGATTGAAGGCTGGGTCCCATGATACACCCCCCCCCTCTCCCCCATCCCCGCCCCTGGTGATGAGGTCCCATGACGCCCCCCCCCCCTGGTGTAGAACCACCACCACCAGGAGAACCAGCAATAGTAGCAATTAGACGCATGTTCAATAAAATCTTGGTTAGGATTGGAGGTGCGTCGCCAGCGTTGGAGGACAAGGTATTACACAACCAACCACCACCACTACCACAACCTCCACCAACATCGCCAACACCACCGACCTCTATCACCCACCACAAGTTTTAATGGAAGGAACTCTCTCATTACTCTCCCACACTATTCCCCGTCACACAACCACACTCATATAAATGTATGTATGAAAATGTATATATATATGCTGGTTAGCATTGTAAATGTGTGGCCACGTCTGTGGTAGAAAATAATAATGATAAAAAAAAACACTCATCCCGTAGCTTGCGACATCTCCACCTCGCTGCTACTCCTTCTCCTCCTCCTTCCACTCCCCTCTATCCATCCATCCTACCCCCCCCCCCTCCCATCCATCCCAGGGTAATCCACGGTAATCTACAATCCACTAGCCATACTTGAAGAGTGACTTGTGAGGCATCTTACTTGTGCTTCTCTTTAGAAAGAATTAGGATTCTAATTTAGGATTAGGATAGGAAGAATGTCCGGGTTTGTCCTTGTGTACCGGTGTGATTGCAAGCCTAAAGATGTCGCTTTTAAAACATATATATTGCAACTAGAGCACTATAATGCCTAGCGGAGTCCCTCTCGCTCAATTACCAGTGCCACAAGAGCCGCTCTTAGCTCCACAAGAGTAGGTGTTGGTGCTACAAGAGCTCCCTTTGCTCCCATAAGAGGATCTCTTTTTGTTGGCATTATAGATCACAGGTGACGCAAAAGCCACTTTTGGTGGCATTAGGACACTTAGCCTAACAAGAGCTCCTTTGCTTCTGCCAAAGCTACTTTTTTGGTGGAATAACGGCTCCTGTTGGTGCTACAAGAGTTACCTGTTTGTGACGTCACACACACACACACACACACACACACACACACACACACACAGTAGATAAAGACAGGCTACTTAACACAAGGGCCACACGCACTAGGGGACACAGGTGGAAACTGAGTGCCCAAATGAGCCACAGAGATATTAGAAAGAACTTTTTTAGTCTCAAGAGTGGTTGACAAATGATATGCACTAGGCAGTGATGTGTTGGAGGCTGACTCCATACACAGTTTCAAATGTAGATACGACAAGAGCCCAGTAGGCTCAGGAACCTATACACCAGTTGACAGTTGAGAGGGGGGACCAAAGAGCCAGAGCTCAACCCCCGCAAGCCCCTGCAGCGACTGACGGACGGAAACCCGTCCACCAACGCAGACGGACGCGTACAGATAAGGACGGACGCGTACAGATAAGGACGGACGCGTACAGATAAGGACGGACTCGGACTAACTGACCCATACAGGTTGTCGCCCAAGTTGGAATGAGAAGCGAACGACAAACATTGACGACTCTCCGCCTGCTCTTTGACACACAACTGCCAGAAACGGCGGACTTGGCAAGTGAGCGGAGAAGGGGGGAAAGGGAAGATGAAGGAGGAGGAGGAGGAAGGGAAGAAATATGCGGAAGATAACGTCACTAAATTGAAGAATTCCACTGAGAGAGAGAGAGAGAGAGAGAGAGAGAGAGAGAGAGAGAGAGAGAGAGAGAGAGAGAGAGAGAGAGAGAGAGAGAGAGAGAGAGAGAGAGAGAGAGAGAGAGAGAGAGAGAGAGAGAGAGAGAGAGAGAGAGAGAGTCACTCACTGTGTGTAATACTAAGTGTCACAGCGAGTGAAAGACTGGGCACCAAACCAGAGTGAAAGCCAGCGAGTGCACCGGAAGGAAGGAAGATGGCCCCCGGTGATCAAAGTCCGCCGGGTGTCGAACCCACGCAGGGAGTGTAAGCACCAGTTAAAGCTGATCTCCCCACACTAAAATCCCCCCCATATACCGCTTCAGTGGTGGCTCCAACGCTCTTCGAATCTCCTCCTCCAACACCTCGTTCCAGTCTTCTCCTTCAGATCCTGCGAGATACACTCCAAGATACAGCACAAACCTCTACAACCTCCTCACTGTCGGATTCTGCTGTTACCTTAATATTTCCGTAAGTCTCTCCTTTTGGCTTTCCTTCTCTCGCTCTCTACTGTCTACCGTGAGATACTAGCACATACTGTCTACCTCTACCGTTTCTACAAGGTAGGGTAGACGGCTAGACACTCTCTCTACACTATGGCTATGGAGCAGCACCACCTGTTTAGTGGCTTGGGACGCAAGGTGGTTGAGAGGGTCGTACGACCTGAGGAGCACTTAGGAACACGACGTTCTCTTTCACAGCGCCGTGACTTCGATGTCCTGGAGGCCGACAAGCCCAGGCCGGCCTTGGGGTACTCGAAGACCTCTCGTAACCCACTCCAGGTAAATTCCAGACTTTGGCGAAGAGAGATCACCCTATAACCTCTTAAGTGTTTTATGATAATAAACTGTAATTAAGTAGGAGCCGGGTGACCAACCGGGCTGTGGTGGATATGTGGGCCTGCGAGTAGCTCCAAACAACG